TCGATTCTTCTTGCCTCGGGGGTTTTCGTTGCATACCCGGCCATTATACCTCGGATTTTTTTTTTTTTTTCACTTGATTAGTCTCTTTTTTGCCTCGGAGCATCACCATGGGAGCACCGCCCAGGAATGGGCCATCAATTTTCTGTCGGCTTCCTTGGCTCGGTTCCAAAGATTCCACCTTGATCGCTTCAAAAAGCGAATCTCCAACACAAACAGTCGAGGATGCAGAAGAGTCTGGGCAAGAATCATCGGTACTCCCCCCTGAGACGGACGCTCCTCCAGATGGCGGTTACGGATGGATATGCGCTGTGGCCGCTGCAGTCGTGAACGCACATTCATGGGGCTTCAATTCCGCATATGCTGTGTTTTTGGCATACTATCTCAAGCATGGGACCTTTGAGGGCGCAACGAAGCTACAATATGCCTTTGTAGGCTCCCTGAGCCTGACTACTATGTTCACAATCTCTCCCCTCGCGACCATTTCCACGCAAAGGTACGGTGCTCGAAAGACTATGTTTGCGGGTGTCGTTTGCGAAACAGCGAGTCTCATATGTGCCAGCTTCGCTAAGAAAATCTGGCATCTCTTTCTTACCCAAGGCATTCTCTTTGGGTTGGGAATGGGTTTGCTATTCATTCCTGTCGCATCTGTGGTCCCACAATGGTTTACATCTAAACGGTCTCTTGCCAGTGGTATTTCTCTATCAGGCGCTGGCTTTGGCGGTTTCATCTATTCCCTAGTGGCGTCAGCAATGATTCGCAATATCGGTCTCAGCTGGGCGTTCAGAGTACTTGGTCTCCTGGCATTCTCGGTTAATACCATTTGTGTGCTCTTGATCCGAGATCGAAACAAACCAGACAAAACCAAGAAAACAACGATGGATCTCGGTATCCTGAAATCTCGGGACTTCGATCTCTTGATTGGGTTTAGCTTCTTCACTATACTGGGCTATTTCATCTTGATTTACAGCCTGGCTGACTATGGCCAACGGATTGGTCTCACCTCCTCTCAAGCCTCACTGGTCAGTGGTATTCTCAATCTTGGTCAGGCTATCGGCCGGCCTCTTATTGGTTACTTCAGTGACAGCGTTGGTCGTATCAACATCGCCGGCATTACAACATTTATTGCTGGCGTGCTTAGCCTGGCAGTCTGGGTGAACTCGGAGTGCTATGGACTTCTGATGTTTTATGCAATTGCTGAAGGCCTTGTGGCGGGAAACATCTGGGCAACGATAGCACCTTTGGTTGCAGAGATCCTTGGCTTGGAAAGGGTCGCTCATGGGATGAATCTTGTCTGGTTGAGCATTATTGTGCCATCAACGTTCTCAGAGCCAATTGCATTGGCGCTGACCAATGCGACGGGTAAATACCTGGGTGCACAGCTGTTCGCTGGGTTTATGTACATCGCCGCGTCGGTGTTTTTGGCTATTCTTTGGTTCCTGAGAAGGAAAGAATATTGAAGATATCATATAGAAGTATAGTGAATGAAATAGAATAATATAGCAAAGAGCTTTTGAACACAACACTTTAATGGGATAAAAAGGAACTGGGAAAATATCCAAAGGGTGCGTAGCAGGCCAGATTACTATTCACAGGTCTATGAAAGAAGAATACTATTCCATTATCATGATGCTGCATGTTGAGTTTGATCTGTATTATTTAATCCACCTATCGGTAAATGGCCTAGAATTATATATCTGGATTATCTGGACCTGGTAAGAACTCGTGGTTGAAATGTGAGCCTTGGCTATGCCCACTTCAGTCTTGTCAATGAACTAATTTACCCAATATTATTTTTTATATCAGTCTCAAAATGATAGATTAAATTAGACATGAACGGAAATGCAAACTTCATATCCAGGTGTTCATCTACTAAATGCCTTCATGTAAAACGCGTAGGACAGCTTTAATATCTAATATGACAAGGATAATCTACTCAAAAATAACCTTCAACCACCAAAGCAGCGTTTTCTGAGCCGGCCATGGCAAAAACGCAAGTCGGGAGAACAGAGATAAATCCTTTGAAGCCATTGTTGAAAGGTTGCTCATTCCAATATCGGAAGCCAATAGGATCTCCCTGGGGTGCGCCTCAGCGGTAACAACTACTAATAGTCAGCGCTAGAAGTTTTCGAAAAGACACGGAAAAGTCCTACCTAACAATGCGACAATAGCAATGAGCATCCAGCCAAACTTCACCGTCGACGAGAAAACCTCCACCTCTGCAAAGAACCTCACAGCCCAAATATTAATCAAGATTATAACAACCCAGAATATTGAAATCCACGCTGCCGTCGGAAGAGCGTCAGTCCAGTATCTTAGTATAGTCACAACACCCTATGTAGTAAGATTGCTTCAGCGTCAGTAGTCTTCAATCGCATCCACATCACAGTTGGGAAAAATACTGAAGCTCATTGGCAATCGTAATCCAATAGGAGAACCAATATCCCCATCCCAAAGCAAACCCTGCGGCTGGGCTAATGAAAATAGTGGACCATTGTACAAAAGCCGACGGAACCGGATACATTACTGCCATTTCGCCAATGGACTGGCCGACGGCCCACACCATAGAGCTTGAAATCAAGAAGCCAGTGAACAGACTTGCAGGTCCACCCTTGACGAGAGATGTACCGCTTCCTAACCACATCCCCATTCCAATTGCTGAACCGAGGGCTATCATCGTGAGATGTCGGGTCCCTAGAGAACGATGAAGCTGTGTATCGGCTCCATGATCAAGCAGTTCGCCCTCGGCTTTGGTTGCTGCATTCTCGAGGTCAACAGGTAAGTTGTCCTTAACAGCCAATGACTCAAGCCCATGTCGCTCCATGCTTGCCCGATCTGCTGCCATATTAATCGCAGGTGGATAAAAGATGTAATTGAAAGGAAAAGTTTATTGAGTCTATGGTTCCTTTTATAATCTTTAACATTACAGAATTTGATAGCCAGATTGGGTGCCGGCGCAGTGGGGTGTACCTTGGGAGCTGCTCCCGGAGTAGGCTCTGGTCGTCATCTTCCCCGCAGATTTGAATTAGAAAGAGATAAGATCTGATAGCCCTGATAGAGTGACGACACCTGTTTGTCACCTGCTTTGGATTAGGGGTGTCTCAGGTAAATGCGGAGAGACCTATCAGGCTCGGTTATCCCATCTGGGCTTCCATCAAACATTCAAACCTTACGATCAATTGCCGTTTGAAATTGACTGTTCTAGTCCTATCAGCCCGTTGCTCCAGCTGACGGCCTAATTCCCCTGTTTTAGCTCTCGGTGTTTGACCAAACATGGGCCGGCCATTGATAAATAGCTTCAACCATTGATGAGTAGCTTCAATCAGCCAAAGCTCGTATCCTTTATCTCTAGATAAAAGACCGTGTTAGGATCGCCACGCGAGGATGATCCTTTCGGGGCATGGCCACACTCCTAAGGAAAGGAGACCGAGATGGAAAACGACAAAGTTCACTAATTTATCTCCACCTAGACATGGCCAATATCTTCCGAGTCATACGCAGTAGTAAACTAGAATGCCACCAAAGATAAGCCACTAGATAGGTTCCCTCTAGGCTGTACATATATATCTACGTAATAAGATTTCATGAACCCGTCACCGGTGTAACTTGACCAACTAGATCGGACTATAGAAGAAAGGGAATCATATACTAAATTCAATACCATTCCGGCTAATTGCCCCTCTAGCCATCAATTTAGACCCTAATATTACCTAGTTCCTATCTTGACAAACATGTACGCTATCACTATAGGAATGAAAAAACCAAACTTTGATGACATTCAATTTGATAAAGCTAATGATGCCAAATAAACTGAAAATAAAATAGCAATATTATCAAGGTTCATGAATAGCGCGCATAATGCGTGCCATTGCCTCCTCCAGCCAGGGAAGAGGATGCGCAAACACCAAACGGAACCACCCTGCCTTCTCTGATCCGTAAGCAGTCCCGTGGGCCACATAAACCTTGCCTTTCAGTAGTTTGTCAAATATCATATCGGTAAACTCGAGGCCTTGGCCCCTCTCTTCGGGGTGAAGCTCGATATACTTCTTACCAATGTTCACCCACAAAAAGAATCCAGCGTTGCATCCATGCAAGTATTCGATTCCATGTCTGTCCAGGAGCTGGGCGAGAAACTCGTGCGACAGAGAGAGCTTCTCTTGATTTGTCTGGATATACTTATCGGTAAAGGCATCGTTCTGAAGGATGGAGGCTGTGATTTGATCCGACAACCCAGAGACAAACGAGTACAGCGACAAGCACTTCTGGGCGAAATGTAGCTTCGGGTTGGACTGCGAGATAATAGCACCTACTCGGAGGCCGTTGGCACCAAAATCCTTGCTCATCCCCCAGAGCACATGCACGAGAGCGGGATTGATCAAACAACTCGTGTCTCTAGACAAAAGGGACTCAAAGGGTGTGAATGGGATATCGGTATCCACGCGATTCGTCCATACTGAGAGAGCGTAGATCTCGTCACTGATCAGGTGCATCTGACGTGACTGGCAGAGTCTCATGAGACCGTCGACTGTTTCCCGAGGATAACAACGACCCAAAGGATTGTGTGGGTTGCAGAGTATGATAGCTCGCACTCGTTTTCCTGTGCGTTCTTCAAATTCCAGTGCCGCTTTCTCGTACTCATCAAGAGCTTCCGGGCTTAGAGGGTCCACATCTCCCATTTCGACAGGTACGACTACCGCTTCTGGACGTAGGCTGATATCTGCAATGAAAGTACTGTAGTATGGCTTGCTCAGGAGGATTGCTTCTCCTGGGTTCAGAAAAGTCCAGCTCAAGTGTTCAATTGCAGAGGAACATCCGTTTGTCATTAGGATGTGATTTGGCTTCACTGGGCGGAAGGGATTGAAGTGTCTGTTCAAGAAGTGCGAGACTGACTTTCGAAGTGCGTTGGATCCCATGCTTCCGTTGTTGTAGGTGAGAAGCGAGGCCGTAAAGCGAGCATTGTCGTGGATATACTCGAGAAGTGTGTCATGGAGTAGGGTATTTTCTGCCATCCCGACAGAGAGGATGCCAGATGGGTTGGTCTGAGGATGCCACATGTCGCTAATGATGTCCCATGTTATACGCTTGGTGCCCAGGTCAACGGCGGCTTGGCCGCGCTTGGAAAAGGTCTCATAGGGACCAGACGAAGATTCTGTGATAGATCCCATGGTGTCTGAATGTTTGTAACGGGAGCTAGAATTTCGGCAGCGACCGAATTGGTAGAACGTTATCCCACGTCAAAGAAAAGCTGTGGACCGCAACCTTAAGTCATATAGTTATCACTGCCTCTTTTTGTAAGTCACGCGATGGTTTAACACAGATTTCCCGATATCGGATAAGCCGCACTTTGATCTCATTTCTCTGGTAAGGGTAGCGAAAGCCGCGGGTCAACGAAAATCGAAATCCCCGGGTTGTAGATATGATTTTCAGATAAAACCTTCCATATCGGGTAACACGCCAAATGAGGACCTCGGTGTTTGATCGAAAACTCCGATTGGCCGGCCGGCGTCTTAATTTCCAAGGTTGCTTGGGGAATTTGTGGGGAATTTGTGGATTTCTTACCCAACGATTAGACTCATGCTCCACATGCCTATCCGAGGACGCAGACACGAACGGCTGCTTCGCTCACAACATCTAACCAACTTAGACCTATCGTAGTATAGGTACGGAAGGAGGAAATTAATGTAAACAAGCAAACACATATCTAAATGATGTTATGAGAGAGACCAACAGATTGAAGGAATACAAGTCCTGTATTTCTACGTTCTGTTTCTCCTGTTCTGGCAAAATTCATTGAGCGACGAAAGTAATATGTAGTTCTAGTTCGGGGCTTGTCCAAGCAATGCAATTGAAGTATCAACAAGAAAGTCACTCTATTGGGGGGGGGGAAAGGCGTAATCCGATGGACGAATGATAAATCAAACCACAAACCATTTTGAGAATTCTTATAAAAGCAAACAGATGACGAGAAAACACCAAAGGGATATTCTTCAACAGTTAAATGTCAGTAAAGCCGTCTGGGATCCTGTTGAAAAACGCTCGGTTGTTGAAATCTAAAACTAAAACGTCAAGCTTCGCAGCATTTTTCCTTAGATGGTTCTTCATTTGAGGGACTCCCATTGAGCAGCGATGGCGACTGGGAAGTGTCCAAGCGGCAGAAGCACGATGACTTAATTGGGACATCGGCTACTGCAAGGGCTAGTTTAGCCGGCTGCTCGATGACAGCCGCTTCGTCCATCCTCCCCAGACGAACCAGACACTCATGGTATCCCTGCAGCGACCAGACATTGTTCGGGTGACGACGTGGCCGGATGACAGAAGTATCCATACCCAGATCCGCGCGATATGTTTCTGCTGCTTCTTCCAAATTGCCCTGCTCCATCATCAATGCAGCATACGCATGGCGAACAGGTTGCATCCACGACCAAGGTTCACTGTATGGCAAAGTGTCCTCATGATGAATTGCACGGCGGAGAGCCTCGAAGGCCTTATCGTAATTGGCGCAACGGTATTCAATCTCTCCTTCCAACATTGACTCGGCGACTTTGAGCACGTCGACGATTTTACCATTGTATGCGCGACGAGTCACGGGGACCCGTGCCCACGCTTGGTGGAAGAGCTCCTGTTCCTTTCTGGCTGAAGGCACGTCCCCTGTGGCCGCGAATGCGATGCCTCTGGCATAGTGGGTAGTGGCAGTAGTTCCTGCAAATAGTGATTGGTCATGGGGCAGCTCTTTGGCCTTGAGCTCCTCCCACATACCGAAGCGTACCATCACATGTAGGCGAATACCCATGAACTGCTCTAGCCAGTCAGCCATAGGCGGGGACTCAATGCGAAGGACTTCTTCAGGCACGGTAGCTTCCATGCGAGTGACTGCGTCAAGAGCAACCTTAGATTTGCCGGCAAACATGGCTGCGTAGATCAAGGAGTGGTAGTCATGCATGCGATAGAAGGTATAGAAGTTCTTGGCGCCTGACTTCCGGAAAAACTTGTCATCGGCGAGCGTCGATTTGTGGTTTGAGGCGATGGAGCGCCGCCAATCGCCTATAAGAATATCCAAATGAGTGGGCATGTGGTGGATGTGACCAGCATCGGGGACAAGGTCGCGGAGATGATCAGCAGCGTTGATACCCAGCTCGGGAGTGGGCGACATTTCGATGAAGTGGATGTACAAGTGGAGTAGCCCAGGGTTGAGATTTGCACCATCCTCTTCCTGTGAAAGCGCCTTTTCTAGCACGGCCTGTGCCTCCATGGTGGGGGCTTTAGGGTTCGGCTTGCCGGTGAACAGATCCCATAGAGCCCAGGGGGTCATATTCATCAAGGCATCGGCATAAAGGGTGGCGACATCCAAGTCAGCTCCGAATTCATCGTACGCCGGCTTCATAGCTGCGGCGTAGCTCTTGTTCAGAGCGGGGTAGTCTGTCGCAGGCTGGTTGGTCGGGAATCTGAATTGGATCGCGTCGATTAGAGCTTGTTCAAGCGGAGTTGCATTTGCCGCGCATTTCTTTGCCTGTCGCGTGGCATCGTATCCTCGTTGCACACAAGTGCGGAGATCTCCCTGGTCGAACTTCTCCCATGGCTTATTGTAGTTGGGGCCAACCGCATAAGCCAAGCCCCAATAGGCCATGGCGCACGCAGGATCATGGGCGATGGCCTGTTTGAAGCAGTAGGCGCCTTCCACATGGTTGAAAGAATATACCCATATCAGTCCACGATTGAACCAAATCTGGGCGTCGGCGCTGGTGGTGGTGATGGGATGGCCGAATGAGCCAAGGTCGTAGTATTCGTCACTAGCTGGGACGGGTACAAGCGTTCCTGAAGTCATGACGAGTGCAGGGGTCGGATTTGATGCAGGGAATGAAAGCTAGGGTCAATGCTCAACATAGGAATAATAGGTGAGATTATGCCTGTGGGCTTTATACATGGAGTACAGTAGCTCTAGATTGAGTGGCGCAACGGATTGAAAAGCGGGGAGAAAATGTGGCTACTCCGGCACGCCGATTTATCAAAGACCGAAGAGGCCGAAGATCCCCGCTCTCTATCCCTACATAATCATCTATTTACATTTAATCCTGTTTATAACGAGTCCCCATGTAACGAATATGGCTGTGTAATCAGATACCGGTGATTCACTTCATCCACGATAGCAATAACGAATTTCTCCGCTCGATACGAATTTGGTTAATTCACCATTTCCTCCTATACAAAATTCTATATCAAAGCTTAGTTAGCTAATTTTGGCCAATTAAAATGTCTCGGTGATCGATCGCCAGTGGATCTTAGAAGCCCGGCTATCCGACAGTGAGCGACAAATCTAGCCTTTCCTTTCGGGGTTGAAATCAGTCGACTATAAAGATATTATAGAAACACGAGAGGTTGCTATAGTAGTTATACAAATAGAAGCAAATCGATGTCATGACCCTTTTTGGAGTGTAAGTTTGTATATACACGAGACATACATATCTTCTCTATTGGGACCTAGACTTAAAAAGAATCTCGGTCTAGCAAATATTCACTCGTTACTCAACAGCTTCATTAGAAATAGGTTTCATCAAATTTCAAAGAAAGCAAGAAGTATACTCGGAAAGAGAGGAAGCGAAAAGAATGCACCCCAGCTTTCGGCCCGTCAAGCCAGCATGTCTCGCGTGGTAGGATGATGACACCGGACATATATGCAAGGGATCCAGCACGAGCCATCAAGAAGAACGCCAATATCATAGCCGACGATGCAAGGCCTGACAGTGTCCTTCCATCCCCGAGCGACTAGACATGAGAAGAGCTCGACGGCCGGCAAGTGAGATCGGCACTGACAATCATGATGATAAAACGGATGTGCCAAGCTAAGGCTATCATGCCATGTCCATTCACATACCAGTGCAACGCCTCTTTTCCTTCCTCATGATTAGCTAACCCCAATGGACATACAATGCGTTCCTAGAAGAAAACTACGGCAAGGTTTTCATCACCGCGTATACTGCGACTTCCCTGCTGAAGATCAGATAAAGAAAGCACTATGCAAGGGACGCGCTCGATGGTCTTCTCATGTCTCGTCAATATAAGTACGAGGAATGAGTGAAGGAGTTGTGAATCAGCAGAGTCTGCAATCTTCTGCCATGGACTTGCCCCAATGGCGATGAGCTTATCTTGAGAGTCGCGTGGACAATATTAGCAGAGTTCTATGCGTCAAACGCAAAATTCAAACTGATATCCCCATGGATGACGAGGACGCGCATCCCGCTGACGCTGTGTATGTTGGCGTCGCCCAACCCGAGAGTCCGAGAACTGCTTGGCTGCTATCGATATAAAGTGGTGCTCAGAAGATGATCGGGGCATGCACGTCCTCTCCTATGGCATCATTCCAGTCAGACCGCTATCCGGTGCGCACGCTTACACGAGTTGGTTGAGCTGATAGATATAATGTTGAAAATGGACCACTTTCGACTAAGAAATCCCCTTCGCCAGCTACTTCAGTCGAGTTTCAGTCAAAGGTGCATCCATCAAGGACACCAGGCCTGCATTAAGCCTTCGGGTAATCTGATCCGAACGAAGCCCCGTCCCCGGCAATGATCTCCATTTTTTGCTGTTATGTGTTTCAGCCCCAAAGAGCCATCATCTGCATTAAAGGATAGATGGTAGATCCTCCCCCAGACTCGACTAAGCGATCAAGCGAATCAGGGCTCATTTTGGAACTTAATTTGCATAGCTTGAAGCTGGCCAATCATGTAAGATTGCCCAAGAAGTAAGCCTTTGTGTTATGCACTGGTCGCCTCTTGAAGAAATCCCGAGCCCGAGCCTAAACTCTGATCGGTAGATCTTTCTACTCCGACCATAGCAGTGAGGTATTGAAACCTTACTTAGATTGGAAAATTGCTCTTTCGATTTCTTGAAGTTCTAGTCTTGACTCCCGATGTCGACTATATACCATCTAGGAGAATGTTATACTCGTGGGTAATTAAAGGGAAAGAGGCGAGGTGGTCACAAAACCAAGGCCTAAAGATGTTCGGATTTGTCCGTCTATTCTATAAACCATGGCGTTGACCATCATGCGCTAAAATGCTTGTTAAAATGGGAGATCAAATTAGTTCGCAACTTATTAATAGTAAGTAGAAAAGCACCGCATGAATCTCCTCAATGGACTGGCATTGATATATGTATACAATTGACTAATTGACTAACCTTGGAAGCGCATCCTACAGCCTCAGACCTACGTTGTACATTAGCACATATCAAACAACAACTCTTTTGCTCGAATGTTCTAAGGGCCCACTTGTTCGGCATACCGAGAAAATCAGATCTAAACGGAGTACCTAGGTAGCTCCGTTATCACATGCTTATACGAGTTGTCTTCTGGCTCATCCACTTGATTTGTGGCAGCGCCAAATGTGCTCATTGTGGCTCCTTGTGGAGTGGACAACAACTGAGACATGCATGCAGATATGCAGATATGGTTCAATACCTATTTTTTATACTCTCGTAAAGACGATCTATATCCCGATAAGACTATAATGGACCTCGTGTTTAGTGGATATAGTCATACGGTGTTACTCCACCGAGGTAGTCGGGGAATTGGCCGTTGATATTTTCCAACTTTAGATAAACACTTCTATACCTACCTAGGTAATTAGTTAGGTAACTAGTGAAAGATCTTAGTAAAGCTATATTTATACCCCCAAAGTTTGAATTAATCCATGGATATTTATTTCCCTCATCTCCACAAATAGGAAGCTCGAGCGAGAACAAAAGGCGCGTGAACCGATTGGGCAGGTCCTAACCGCCGGGCACTTTCGATAGGCCAATAATGGACTGTCGATGCCAATGGCTTTTCGGTGGAGATAGAGTGGAATAATGATTCGCTATGTCTAGCTTTAGGCTTTCAATCCTTATTCACTCAATTGAGTACTTCACGCTGGTGCCTATTTCCTCCCTGAACCAGCCACCGTGAAAGAATGGTAGATTATACCGGAATTTTAGATTTTCCTGATCGGGGTGCCGCTTTATTAGGACAGGGATAAGTCTAGATATTCAATGTTGAGGAATAAGAATCATTAATAAGAAAAAGTAGACATGAAGATTGCGTATAGAAACATAGACTCATTTCTTTCAGTACGCTTAAACTTTTTTGGCAGATGATATATACTGTACGGAGTAGAATGCCTTGGACCCTGGTCTTGGCGGGCGCGCAGCTTAATTACCAAGATAGGAAATAACCTTGGAATCATGCTCAAAATGCCTCACAAACCAGGCCACAATGTATCAATTGCCCTATAGGGCTATGAACTATTTTATCTCCCATGGTAAGATCAAGGATCAGATATTGTTTTCTTCAAGATCAATCAATACGTAGGAAGCGTGAGAGTCAGTTATAAATTGTAAACACGTGTACTCGGTTTTCCTCGGTGGTCAAAAAGCGGCAAGGAGTAAGCACTAAAACAGAAGGGAAAGGCATCTCGGCACGCGATCTGATGTATACAATGTAAGATTACTCCAATACAGACATTTGTATGTATTTTATCTTCTATCCCATGTTGGACTGGGCTAAATCTGACACTGAGCGTGGAGAAACAGGGTTTATCACCTCTCCTCTCCACTTCTCCAGGGCTTCTAGCCTTCCTTGATCGCTTTAGCATCTTTTTGCTTTAAGCTTCGATTAATTTTCCTAGCTTTCACATGATAAAATTTTGATTTCTTATTCGCATCCTTGTGGGGTCTGGCATCGAAATCCATCGGATACTTTTTGTCAATTCGAGTTTCATGTCAGTTCCCCCCCATTGCACGATTTTCACTCGACACAATGACTCGATATACACAGTAACCATCCTTACTCGGACGTACCATTGAGGCCGGCTCTTAATTTATGGGAAACAACCATAACTCTCATTCCCTGGCAATTTCTGGCGTGTGTGTGTGTACGTGAATATGCCAGAGACCTCCACAACCCAAGGCGAATCAAGCACTCCCCATGGATCAACCACCCTGCAGTTAAATAGATCCTGTGAGTCTTGCCGAAGTCTGAAGGTCCGCTGTCTCCCCAGCCCATCCACGCCTAACCAATGCCAGCGATGTGCGAAGGGCAAGCGATCCTGTGTCTTCGTGGCGCCGCAGAGACGGCGGCCCCGGAAGCGGACGGATTCACGCGTCGCCCAGCTTGAGAAGGAGATGCGGATGATGCGTTCGCTGTTGAAAAATCGCATCCCTGAAGAGGAGCCAGATTCCAGTGATGGCAGCGACGTGGACGACGTCCAGGATCATGAATCGGCCGATACGGATTTTAAGAGCAGTCTCGCCTTGCGGGATCATCCGACTCACTCGTCCGAGGATGTCCGTTATATGGACTATTCCCCTGAATTACTGAATACCCCGTACCCTAGTGTGCATGATAGTGGTGGCTTTTCGGCACCGCCGACTTTCGCGGGTATGTCAGCTCGCTGTGAGCCGGAGCAGGAGAGGCTTCCTCCGGCGGACGACGTGATCGACCGGGGGATTCTCTCTCTCGAAGATGCAGAGCAATTGGTGGCGTATTTCATTCACGAACTCGCATTCTTCTTTCCATTGGTCGTCTTGCCTTCGAATACCACCGCAGCTCAACTGCGGCAAACAAAGCCAATCCTCTTCCTCTCCGTGATTGCCGCGACATCCATATCCGTCGATGCAGGCCTGGCAGCCGTGCTGAACCGCGAGATGGTCCGCCTCTATTCAGAGCGGTTCTTCATCGAAGGCGAGAAGTCACTAGAGTTAGTGCAAGCGCTGCTGCTGATGATCATATATTATTTTCCGCCTGCCTCGCCATTGAAGCTGCAGCTTTATCAGTACACGCACATCGCTTCGACGATGGCGCTAGAAATTGGGTTAGCTAATAAACGTCGCGTCTCGAAAAAGTCCGATCGCAAGAGCAGCAGACATGATGAGCTACTAGCTGAGCAGGCGAGAGCAGTCCTCGGCTGCTACCATCTCGGTTCGAGCGTTGCGATGAAAACCCGTCGCCCGAATCTGCTCCAGTTCAACGACTGGATGACCGAGTGTCTCAAACACCTAGAAAACTCGCCCCATCGAACAGACCAGCACGTGGCGATATGGTTTCAGCTGCAACGGATAACCGATGAAGCAATGTCCTCATTCGGTCTGGACGACACCAGCACCACATCGCCCCTAACCGAATCGCGGGTCCAAGCCGTGCTACGCTGGTTCGACAAGCGGCTCGAAACGTGGAAGAAGAATGTTCCGTCTGAAATGCTCACCGGTAAGAAATACCAGTCCTCTCACTTTGTATCATGGTGCGTCCACTACTAACCAACTCCATCAAACCAGTCCCCATGATCCTCGAATACCGCTCCACGGTACTAGCGATGTACGAACTCGGCGTAGGAGAAGGCTATCGCGACCCGGACGCAATAAAGCGACGATATTACACACTGCCGACCCTCGACGGAGAAGGGAACAGCGGCAGCGAAGCACCGGACGCCCCACTCAGCGCAATCCGCATCGACATCAAGGTGAAATGGATGAACGCCGCACATGAGCTGCTGGACGCCGTGCTGACCTGCAGCACGGACACGATGCGTAAACTTCCGAATCTCATGTACACGCGGTTCGCGATGGCCGTGACATCCCTGCTGAAAATCCACTTCTCCGTGCGAACCGGTGCTCTCGGGGAAGTCGTCACGCCGCAGGCCGTGAACGTGGCTTTCTACCTAGACGGCCTAGCCAACAAGCTAAGCGAGGCCAGTGGCAGCGGCAAGTACCCTATCCCCAGTCGGTGGTATCATGTGGTGGGCGTTAAGGGTCGGGATTGGTATGATCGGTTGGAGAGGCGGCAGAGTGAAGCGATAGAAGCTGGGTCCCGGGTCGTGTCGGGGAGTCCGTCGACCAGCGCTGCAGAATCTATCTCGGGTTCAGTGCCACACCCTAGCCAAGGCCAGGTCCAAACCCAAAATCAAGGCCAAGATACACACTTGGACCGAGTCCCGTCAACCATGGACTCCTTCCCCGTCATCCCTATGCCCCCAATGCAGCCGGCCATAGACAGCATGCGTGACGGGTACGTACCGATGGCTGGTGCGGGTATGTGGGCCATGGACGGCGGGCATAACCCGCATTTCTACCCTATGAGTGCGCCGGGTTATCAGCCCCCGGTGTCGCATGCTCAGTCGACGTTGCCGCCTCAGTTTTCGTATGAACCGCAGAGGATTCCGGTTAGTGCTGCTGGGCAGCATACGGGTAGGGCGGGCATGGAGTTGGATGGATGGCTTCCTGAAGGGAGTATTTTTGGGGTGCAGCCCTTGCCTGAGTTTTGAGGTGGAGATAAGAGTCCTGAAATGAATGAACCCCCGGGGGATGCTGGACATGTGTGTGAGTCTATGTAATGCCATAGATCATAAGTATGAACTGTATATACGTATCAGCTCGTTAATATTTTAAATCGATATCCCGTAACCATATCAGCAGGAATTATGTTATACTTACCAGGATATGAGAACAAGATCCGAAAGAGAAGATCCGAAAGGGTAGAGCTCAGCTAACTCAACCCTGATAGATGGGAGTATAGCACTTCAAAGGGCAGGAGACATAACTACCAGTGCGCAACAAAACCGCAGTTCAAGTCAGCAGGATGAAAGAAAAAGAACAAGAGAAGAAACTCCCAACCAAGAGAGAATATTCCAAGCCCCATTTAACCCGACATAAATATATTCGCAAAGCACTGTCGGAGGCTCGGGAGAATCGGAAATTCCGAGATGGAACCGTCGGGGATCATTGATGTATTGAGCATGGGTCCGACGGGGTTTATTCGGGACTTTGACTATTCCTTCTGCGCTATTGTGTATGCTGTTATGTTGCATTGGTATACGTTCTTGATGGCATTGGCTGCTGTCTCTTGTCCCCTGGAGTTCGGGGTCCGAGCCGAAACCTAACCCGAGTTTGATCTGGAAAAAGGATAGGCCTTGGGGGTTCTTGGATTAACTTGCGAATGCTTTGTCATTGTATTCCAATGTGATACATTTCCTCCCCGCTATTTGTGGGGTCTTTTAACTCGTCTGAGAGTATGCTGTATATCACACCGGTGGAGCGGGATCTAAGAAAGATCCGAGCAAACAGATGTTAGTCACATGTAATAACGCATAGGAGGATCATTAATCATAGTTTATGCAAATAGTGCTAATCAAAACAGGTTCGTCAAATGGATAGAACATGGTTATCAAAAGCCAACCGAAACCAGGACCAACCACTTGGTCTATTCAACTCCTCGGGAAAATCAACAAGCCCAGTACATCAAAACAAAGGAAAAGCGTAAAAGCAAAGCAATGTAAATCACAGAATTGAAAATGCCTCTAGCGCATCCATGAACCCAGCAATAGCCCCGATCCCCACCAACCCCCTTGTAGCATTACGAGTCAACGCCTTATGTCGATCCTTGGCTTCTTCACGCGAGGATCGGCGTGGGTGCGACGACGGGGACCATTGATTTGAGCGAGGCGGCGGGGCTCGGAAACTAGACTCGGGCGATGAGGAGGAAAGCGGGTATGCGGATGAATGATGGCGGGGTTGGAGTTTGTTGTTGCTCTTGGGGATATTATTGTATGCCTGCTTTCGGGCCCTGGAGGGCTCGAAGTGGACTTGGTTTGGCGATGGGACTCTGGGAGAGGGATTCGTATTGGGAATGGTGATGGCTGGGTTATTGGGTTGGTTCATGTTCGTTGGGATAGATCGGGGAGCTGTGGCGTAGTCTTGGTTTGGGTAGTATTTGTATGGTTGCTGGGGAGGACCAGGCTGTGCATGTGAAGGCAGCGGTGGAGGACGGGGTAGAGCATGGTTCGGAGGTGGGAAGCTGCCGCTTGAGTATGTGGGGGATCTGCTGTCGGGACTGCTGTGACTCGGAGGATATCTGGATGAGAGGCTGTTGGAATGGAAACGGCGGCCTTGCAATGGGTTGGTGCTGTGTGAGGGCCGAAGAGTATGGGATCTTTGCTCGCTCTCGTCACTTGAGTCGATGACTCCCGAGTCGCTGCAAGTCTTATCTCGATGCTTGAGATGTTCATCCGGCTCTGGTTCGCTTTCCACGTGAGCCTGGTAGCTTGAGTACTTTCGGCGTAGCTCTGCTGCATGCTGTCGAGCCTCTTGTGAATGAGGTTCCCTCCAGTCCATTGTTGATCCCTCGAGGTAGTAACCTCGGATATCGTGACTATCAAAGTCTAGCTCTTCGGTATCATCTTCTTCGGTGTCTGAAGAGACATAGACTCGAGGTTGGACTTGCGTGTTGGATGGGCTGAAGCCCTTACGGGCGTGGTGTAATTTCGAAGGTTCAATCAAAGGCACCCAGAGTGAAAGCAGCCGGTTCAATGTGCTCTCAGATAGTTGCACCATATCCTTCGGGGATCTTTCCATGTCACTAAGTCCCACATCGCTATCTCCAAGAGTAATGATGGGGAATCTTGTTGGATCAGAGCGTCTGGCCAATGGCTTCGATGCCGATGCTGTATTGGACGAGTAATTGGAACTGATCCTCTGGTTTGTCAGGTCATTGGAGGCATCCGAAATCTCCTGTTCCACGAGATCCCACAGACGATCGAGCCGCTTGACAGACCAATATCGGACGATGATCATGTTCTGAGATTCCGCTTTCTCCTGGGCAATGGCATCTTCGGCGGTGGAGGTAAGGGAATCTGTATCAGCCCCCTCGTTAACGTTGGATTTGATAACATTGCCAAGCTGTAGAATTTGTAGCATCACTATCAGACTGAGCTTGAGAGATTCCAACTGGGCTAGCAAGTAAGTGACATGCTGCTTCCGGAAACACCATTTGAGTCTCTCCTGTAGTGGGATCCTCATAAGATAGTCGTCTCTGTCGGTTGCCTTCAACTTGTCCAGCATGTGTTCGATTTCGATGAATATCATCTGGCCTTGTCCGGCGATCTCCCAGGCCTTCTCTGTTGCCTCTGGAGACTTGTCCACATCGGTGTCCTCAATAGTCTGCCCGACATGCTTGAGTGCCAGAGTGAAAAGCGAGATTCCCTTGGCGATGCTATGAATTTCCAGTCTCGACTGAGCGAGTTGACAAGCGGCAGCATTGAGGAGCAGCGAGAGCCGAAACCCCGCGCCGGCGATCTTAACAATGGAAGCTTGTGAGCCTTTAGATAGAGAGAAGGAGCCCATTAGTAGAATTTCTCAACTTCTCAAAAGAAAAGCCGTACCTTGTGCCATGATGAAGGAGTGTCCCAGATCATATCAAAAGACAAAGTGGATTTCGCCTCAGGATGATAACCTCCAAGCTAACTCTCTGCCAAGAACTAGAGCCGCAAGCCTACTGCATATCAAGTGACTCAAGTCTGACATCTGAATTTGAACCCCCGGGGATGTTCTGTTTGTACCCCCGCGATTCATGGCGTCATAGTCTATACTTTCCCGCCTTCTCGTTGGTTTACGAGGACGGGCGCAGTTGATCTTCAACTTGAAATGACCTAGCGCATGTCTTTCCTTGTTACTGAAGTTTCGGGCAAAGTACCCGGCACTGCCTCTAAACTTTCGATCAACACGCTCCGCTCGACTCTTTGCCTTGGATTTATTTGTCAAGACTGTCTCGCCTGTATCGAAAGGGCAGAGTCTCTATCGGATGCCTTCGGATGCCGGTGAGAGACCATACCCTTGCTGTTTACCCGGGTTTCCTCTCAAGGCGAAGCGTAGTGGCAATGACCTCGTATTATGAGAACTGGGATCTGGAATGAAAGGGAGGCTAATTCAAAAACTCCGCTGTCTCCGATTTAGTGGATTCCTCATGCTTTGGATAACAAAATACAATAAAGTAGCCACACACATGGTATGGAGTAGACATGCAGCTATTCCGAGGTAGATCTCACAAGCATTGACTTGTTAAATGTGAAACATTCCAGAATATCGCCAAATGAAGAGTAGGGAAGGTCAATAATATTCAAAATATCCAAAATAACGTATATATCATTCAAATGTCCAAGTATCTAATTGTTTTCGTTCAGACTTGTTTATTTAGCAACCCGATGGGCGCATTTCCGCTTTCGGTCCCTCAGCAGCTCCTTTTGCTAGTTGCCTAACCTCCCCAATGCGTCTAAATTTCTCTCTACAATAACTCTCTAAACTATTTAATTACAAACTCGACTCAAATCCTTTGTTGTGGCCGCTGTACTGGCTAATTGATCCCTCCTCTCTCCGTCGCACTCTCCGCCCCTCCTCCTTTTTCGCCGCGTGGCACACCGTCATCTGCGGAGATTGCCCAAGTCCGATGAACGTCTAGTGGCCCACCATCGGACGTGGGAAACTTGGGATAAGGCGAACACAACCAGATAAGAACTCAAAAGCTCAACCCAACAATTCTGAGGCCGGATGGGTGAGCTCCTGAAGGTATCGCGAAGGAACGTGAGGACGCAAGGGACAACTGGGATCCGATACACCACCTTAAGGCCCCTAAGAGCCTCAAGTCCATGAAATCATGACCGCAGCCTCGGGTGTTACCGTAGACACCTCCGATTCTCCTATACCCTCCCCGCCGAACGCCACCAATACGTCCCACCTCGAGCCCCAATCGACAAAGGGCGATTCCCCCACGAATCAGAATGAAACAGAGACAGAGCGATCAGCACCCCAGCCAGTAGCATCCGAAGCTGCTGCAGTGTCTGCCAAACCCGCATATGAAGTAGATGATTTTGGCCTTCCCATTCGAGCACGCCGACCCGACCCCACACCCAGCGAACCCCCCGAACGACAGAATGCTAGCCAAGACGTCCAGAATGTGGCTGTGAGCTCGACGGGCTATAGTCATGCTGTGACAAAGTCGAAGGAACCAGAATTGTCACAGGACAGGCTGGAATCGGGGCCAGCCAATTCGAATAATACAGAAGAGCGAGGCAAGGGTGCAGAGGCTCCGGACAATTCTCCTGCACCCCCGGAGTATTCGCAGGCCTCAAGTGCTCTTGATCAGTCCCGCACCTCAACTTCGAAGCAAAGATCCCCCCAGGTGTCGGAATGGTCGCACCAACGCCTCGCCCAACCTGATGCATATCACCCCGAGAGTGAAGAGTCAGACGCAGAGCCCGATGAATGGCAAACGATGCCTGCACTTGGGGAATTCGACTACTATGACGATTATGGGAGACTCGTTGCTCGTGGCGCCAAGGAAGAAGACGACGAGGCTGTATACCAAGGATTAGGGGGAGCAGGAAGGGGTTATACTCGGGTGCAGCTCGACGAAGATGCCCAGTCCGCCACAAGTCTAGATGAGGATACGAGCTACCTGTTTCGAGAGACAGGCGGCAACTCTGCCGGTCTAGTCGGCGAGGAGCTGCGAGATTCCATCAGCCAGCTCCAGGCCACCAAAGACCTTCTCAACGAGACTCAAAAGATCGCGTATGTGGGGGTTGTCAGGTTGGCAATCCATAATATGAATCACGACCTAGCGTCGATTGCCACTACGAAATCCACGCGCAAAACCATGCAAAAAGCCTCGGACGCCATGCGAAAATGGGGCCAGGCGATCATGGGGCGAGTCTATGCTCATATGGATATCAATTCTGCTGAGCAGATTATGATTGAGCAACTCGCAGAGCATGGGGTGCAACCAGAAGACCTGGTGCGACCGCTCATGCAGAATGCGCGAGTCAAAAATCCTATGGCAGAGAGTGAACCGAAAACCTCTACTTCCAGTCAGAAATTTGACTCTCCATCTAGGCTCTCCGCAGAGACGGATTCGTCTGAATTAGATCCTCCCCCGCCATACGAGGCCCACGAGACCGAGGAGCCCCCGGAGGTCAAGATGCCTTCTGAGATGCCAACCTCTGATCGCATAGATATCGATCTCCGCTGGACTGTCCTCTGTGACCTGTTCCTTGTACTCATCGCAAATTCAGCGTACGACGCTCGGTCGCGGACTCTTTTGGAGAGGGTCGGCGCAGCTTTGGATGTAACATGGCTGCAGATCTCACGGTTCGAAAAGCGAGTCACAGACTCCCTTGAAATGCAAGAACAGGCAGAGAAAGAGAATTGGGATGAGTCAGACCACATGGAAAAGCGCCGGAAGATGGCCTTGAAGCGGAAATATATGATTATGGGCTTAGCAACGGTCGGCGGCGGACTGGTCATCGGCCTTTCCGCTGGCCTGTTGGCACCTGTCATCGGAGCTGGTCTTGCCGCTGGTTTTACTACAGTGGGTATCTCTGGAACAGGTGCATTCCTGGGAGGAGCCGGCGGCACAGCTTTGATCGCTTCTAGTGCTACTCTAGGTGGAAGCACCATTGGAATGAGAGCTTCGCACCGACGTACTGGCGCAGTTCAAACTTTTGAATATCGACCTCTTCATAATAACAAGAAGGTCAACTTGATCGTGACGGTCTCTGGCTGGATGACTGGCAAGGTTGATGATGTCCGTCTACCTTTCAGTACTGTCGATCCGATTATGGGCGATATCTATTCCGTGCTATGGGAGCCTGAGATGCTTCGAAGCATGGGTGACACTATCAACATTCTGGCAACAGAGGTAAGCGTCTTAAGATGTGGCGTAATTGTTAGTAGACTAACTGGTTCTTTAGGCATTAACACAAGGTCTGCAGCAAGTACTAGGTAACACCGTCCTGATGGCGCTGATGGCATCATTGCAACTACCACTTGTTCTCACTAAGCTCGCCTACTTGATTGACAATCCCTGGATCGTTTCGTTGGCACGCGCGAACTCAGCCGGACTCGTTATGGCCGATTCCTTGCGAGAGCGGAATCTTGGCAACCGGCCTATTACATTGCTCGGTTTCTCCCTCGGCGCGCGTGTCATCTTTTCTTGTTTGAAAGAGCTGGCCGAGAAGGGCGCCCACGGTTTAATTCAGAATGTATACCTATTTGGCTCGCCCGTTGTGGCGAACAAAGATGAATACCTGAAGGCCCGGAGTGTGGTGTCTGGGCGATTTGTGAACGGTTATGCCACGAATGATTGGATCCTGGGCTATCTCTTCCGGGCAACAAGTGGCGGCATTATGAGAGTCGCCGGCCTCGCAGCTGTCGAAGGTATACCGGGCATTGAGAACTTTGATGTCACTTCGCTTGTGAATGGTCATATGGATTACCGTACGGCAATGCCTCGAATTCTGAGGGAAGTTGGTTGGGAGGTTCTCGAGGATGAGTTTGCAGAAATCGAGGATCCAGACCCAGATAACCACGCTGAACGACAGCGCGAGTTGATTCGGGAGATTGATGAAGCTCGCCGAGAAGCAGAGGCGAAGCCAGAGAAGAAGCGCTTCGGCATATTCAAGCGAGGCAAGATGGCCGAAAAGAAGAAATGGGAAACGTATGATGTCGACAAAAGCACCGCCCCTCGTGATGCAAATGAGCCAGAAAGTAGTCCTGGTACTGTCCTCTTCGACATCGAGGCCATTCGAGCCGAGTTGCACTCTGAGGCGATCGAAGTCAAAGAATTGGAGTCGACTATGCCTCTGATGAAGCTAGACCTGGACGCTCCGTCAGGACCACCACCCGTCCAGCCCCTTCCCCCTACCTCCAAGAGATCCAAGACGCCTGAACTTCCACCTGTTTCTCGGACTTCTTCGCTACCCCCGCAAGCATCGGGCCAGTATTCTCCTCATGGGCCCAATGAATTCTCTCCCGTGCCAAAGCACGAAGATATGGAAATGACCTTCGACATATCATTCCATGAACCCCCACAATCCAAAAACGACGACCATCACTCTCGTCCAGAATTGAGAACTGCCTCTACAATGCCGACGGTTGGTACTACCGCCCTCGGAGCCATGGCCATGGAGCCCAACGCCTGGGTGGACCACGATGAGGGACATCAGGATGGCGAGATCTCAATGACGTTCGAATAGTGTCCGCTCTTGGATTCTTCTCATTTTGCTTTTCTTCTTTCTCTTTATAAGTTTCTTCCATTGATTCGGTTCCTGAGACTTAATGAGGCGCATGGCTTGCACATGCGTGTTTGGCTTGACTATGATCCGATTGTGTATATGCCCATCCATCTATGTATAGAGGCAGCCCTAGCTTCAACAATAACCATATGATCTCGAATCATTCGCAAGCGGATTGGCCCAGCTGGGTTCTTTGGCTGCTTTCTCGTAGTGTCCTCAGGGCAAATTACACATAGAATATGAGGACCTGTGGAATTGACGCCGAAAATGACCGCTTTC